GAATAATTTTTATGGTAATTTCAACTAGTTTATATTTATAATAATTATAATTATAATCCTTTTAGGTTGCCAACTACATACATTGCTAGAACTATACATATAGTTACTGTTATTATTATTATTATAGTAATAATAATAATCATAATTATAGTAATATGTAATTATAATTATAAATACCAAGCACTTTTCTCTCAGTGTAAAAAGCCAACGTCGGTATTTTCGTTATTGACCGATTTCTGTGAAACACATATAAGTATTCCTTCTGTTTAACAGCAATCGGAAGTAAAAATCTCTTCATAAAGAAGAAACTTAAGATATTCTAGAACGATTGTTGAATATAAATAAGATATACAGCAGCCTTATTCTGAAACTCTTAAGTTTCTCGTTTATCGTTATAACATCATCGTGCAGTTTTTTTTACTATAACATAAAAGCTGCAACGGTGTTATAACGATTATGAAATTTGAGTGTTACAGAATAGCCCTGCAGGAATAAATTCGCAAAATTCTCTCTTCGCGAAATGTAAGCAGGAAAAGAGATGCTTTGCGGAGTAAATTTTGTGGAAGTTCTCAGACAACCTTAAATACATAATGCTTACCACTTATAATAGCTAAAATATGTTTAGGGATATTCTTAAACTTTCATCAATTCGTAACCTGGAAATAGCATTGTAAAATATGTTATACTTAGCAATTTAAAATAAATCCTGTCAGTGAAATACAATATTTGCGGAAAGAACGGTTTTTTTGCAGCATTTAAAAATGTGCAGCCAAAAGTCTAAAAATAATTTTGTTTAACTTTAGACCATTAAAATAATTATGTTGGACCCTTAAACTGATTACTAAAATATTAAAACTTTTGTAGCATTATTATAAATCTCAATTAAAATTATTTTAAAATGCTGTTTCTAAATTTTTAAATACTTCAGCAAAACCGTTCTTTCCGTAATAATATAAATTTTAAAAGCATAAAATTATATATAAAAATATTTTTAATAAATTAGAAAAGTAAACTATAAATTAAATATAAATAAGCAATAATATCAATTTTTTAAATATCTTAAATATTTTTGTAAAAAAAATTTAATATTTATATCTTTGATATAAATTAGATATAATAATCAATGTGTGATACAGTTAAAAAATATATTTATTAATAATGATAATATCAATTGTGTGAACATCTCTTACATTGGCACGAGAAAGTCTTAGATCGGAGGAAAGTAGCTCTCGCTGTGTGTGCCGAAGATAATACGCTTTTCTAAGTAATGGTCGGAGTTCACACTCCGAGGAAATTACAGGTAGAAAAAAGAAACTGAAAGCTCGAGATACGATGGCGGAAGGACACAAGGGAATAAAGCGATTCCGAAACACGAAATATCCGTTGTCTCGTGCTTGTTATCTTCGTTTTATTCTTTTTACCTGTTACTCCGAATCGATTTCGCGGAGCACAAATTAGGAATGGAACATGAGATTAGACAATTGTAAACCATTAATTAAACATATAATATGGGATTAAAGATATCTATCGCACGAATCACCGAATACGTATTAGTTGTATAAATTTCCGGCAACATGGAATATTTCTCACATGATAGTACAAGAAATTCTATTCAAATATTTTGTTACCGTAAAGAAAAAGCTTAACCGCTCGTAAAGTCGCGTAAACTTGCAAGTTTAACGCTTTCATGACAGCTCAGGTGATTTTATGTGTTTGCGTTGCTCTGCGAAGCAGAAGCTATTTGCGTGTCTTCATGTATTTACTTTGCCAAGAGCTAAAAGCAATAGATGTATTTTTTATATGTTTCCTATTTGTATCAATATCCAGAGAAATAAGATCCCCATCTCTCTTGATATGATATTTTTTTATTTGTGTATTATTTTAAAATATCATTACATTAAATTCATTGCGGGTATTCAAGCAAACTTATTCCTCGCTTTGTAAAGCGCGTGTCACATCGAAGATTGAGATTGCAAATTGAAAATTAAAATCCAACCAATCAGAAATGGATTAAAATTAAAATTATCTGATTGATCGAATTTTAATCTTTAATTCGCAATCTTCAATCTCTAATGCGTGTAACGTAGGTGTAACGGATATCGTGCAAAAATGGAATTCAATTGTCGCTAAACCGAGTAAAATTAAGTAGAAATATTGCCGAGTAAAACTATTCCATATACACATTCACACAGATTACGGGACTGAATTCGTGCAACTCATGATTCTCTTGATAAAAAGTATAAAATATGCGTATAATATTATTGTGTGTTTATACCGAATGAAACATTGAACGTCTCGGATGTTCCAACGCGTGACGTGTCGTAAGCACAGCAATTCGTACGATGACACATCAGCAGGAATGATTTTTTTCTATCAACTAGATGGATTGAGAGAGAATTGTCGATGGATCTCGTAGCACGTATAAGAGACGATTCCGAATAATCTTCAATGTTATTTGCAACGATCCGCGGTTGCGGACAGAAGTTTATAGTCTTCAAAGCGTTCTCGTATATGTTCGTGTCAGTCAACGGAGTATAAACTTTCTAATCGAATTAGAGGTCGGCGCTCCCTTTGCCGTGGCATTTTACTCAGCGATCAAACAGGTTCTTTGATATGCGAATTTGAAGATTCGTAAAGACATTGTAAAGACATTGTAAAAGGATTGCAACGTAATTACATTGTAAAAGTAATTACAACGAGCGAAGAAAAGTTTTCAAGAAAATATTACTAAACTTTTGAAATTATGTTATTAACAAATTTCGCAAATAACTTAATCGAAATTCACAAAAATAGGATAACGCGAAAATTCACAATTGCAGTTTCTTACTCAAAAAGAATTTAAAAACGGTTATGATCTACAAAATTATGTTCGCAAAAGCAATTAACATTTGAATACCATAAATATTTGAAATGCAATACTAAAATTTATAATTATTCAATTATAAGTGGAAATTAGGCCGATAAATCAAATAAGAGAAAATCTATTCATAATCCTGAAATTTTGATAGATCTTAATGCTTAATATAATATTCGTGCATTTATAAATACCTTTTTTACAATCAATTTAATTTGTGATGTTATTTCCAGCTTTATGATTGCTTTTTAAATCCGATAAACCGAACCGGCGTGTAGTTTATAGAACTGAAAAAATATATTTGCAAATTTGCATATGAATATTATTATATTAAGAACCAAGATTCGCTTCGACTAAAAATAGAATTTTTTCTCTTATTTGATTTATAATTATTCCTTCATAAATACATATACATTATTAAATCTATAGCGTCAAATTTAACCTAACGTGAGTTGCCACTATTTCTACTAAATATATCCGTTATGTTACGAAAGCAAATCAATAAGTTCTTAGAAAATCTGTCAAACTCGCAATGTCACTTTTGACAAGTTACTTTTTGACAAGTAGCATCTCTCAGCTGATTACTGTCAAATTTTGAGCGGAAATTATCGCGTGGTTTCATTTCTGTAGACGATTAAAGCGAACAACCTTTGTATTTTTTGCAAAATGGAAAAAAAACGAGTTTCGTGCAATGATCAAACATCTACATATGAAAAGCATTTAATGCTGAAAGAAATCAAAGCAGAGTTGGATAATGCTCATCAGCGTTTGCTGTATACAATTGAGTGAATGAATTTAAACGTAATCGCACATGTGATGCACCTCGTTCGGGACGTCCAATTGAGGCTGCTACGCCAGAAATCGTCGATAAAATCCACAATATTGTTTTGACTGATCGACGAGTGAATGTGCGCGAGCTTGTTGAAGCCACAGGCATATCACATGGCACAATTTCAATTTTGCACGAACAATTGGATATGAAAAAGCTATCGGCAAGATGGGTGTCGCGTTTGCTCACTGTGAACCGTAAGCGCGACCGTATGACGATTTCAAAACAATGGAGATGTTTGGAGATGTTTCAACATAATCCAGTTGAATTTCTGCGTCGATTCATTACTGTGGACGAAACATGGATCCATTACTTCACCGAGACGAAGGAACAGTCAAAACAATGGACTTCACCAGGTGAATCAGTTCCGAAAAAGGCGAAGACCGTAAAGTCGGCTGGAAAGATGATGGCCACAGTTTTTTGGGATACGCGGTATAATTCATATCGATTATCTTCTGTCGAAGCAAATGATTGCTACGCAGCCTTATTGGACCGTTTCAACAACACTTTAAAGAAAAAACGTCCCCATTTGACGAAGAAGAAAGTGCTCTTCTTCTTCATCAAGACAATGCATGGGTTCACACGTGCCCGGCACCGATGATCAAATTCAATGAATTCCTACGAATTGCTTTCCCATCCAGCATATTCGCCAGATTTTGCCCTCTGCGACTATTTCTTGTTTCCAAAAATTTGCTGAAGAAATGGTTCGGAGGAAAGAGATTCACCATCAGAGAGCAGCTCATCGCCGACTTAAACAGAGGCTTAATTTGAAAGGTTGGACAAATCATATTATTCGACTTGAAAAAGTTGGAGAATCGTTGGATCAAGTGAGTATCGAGCTGAAAGAAGACTATGTTGAGAAATAAAAATGAATCGATAAAAAAAAATGTGTTTTACTATGTTTTTCTAAAAACTTATTGATTTTCCCTCGTATATTAAAATGTTACATTTGACATTATACAGTGTCAATTTAACACTATATATAGTGTCTAATTGACACAAATTTAACTATCATTTTGACAAAAAATAATGATATATTTAGTAGGAGCAGTGGCGACTCACGTTAAGTTAAATTTGACACTACAGATTTAATATTATGCAGAATTTGACAATACATTCTATGAGAACCACTGATATAGTGAAGAGAGTAGATCCAACAAAACGCGCATTATGGAAAACAAACATGTAACAGCGACAGTGTAAATCCGTCTCATGCTTTATGATACTGTCGCATGAGCGCAGAGGTGAGAGCGAAACAGCCGTAGGATGGATAAATCCAGGGGAATCGGAAAGGCTTTTAAAGAAAAATGTACTCACCGCCATGTCCTCGCTCCTGTAAGCCGTGAGGGTCTGCTCGTCCTGCAGGAGAACGCAATAACAAGGTTCCCAGCATGCCTCGCTGGCAGCCTCACCGACGCAGCATTCGGCTTCTGCAAAAGAGAAAGATGGTCCCTCATGAATAACCCAGGCAAATAGAAGACGGTACCGACGACACCATTGTGCGTGTCGTTGTCCTATGAGAGAGTAAAGTCACTAGTCAAGAGAGTGACTCGCAAGGATAATAAACCGGGCGTCAATTATCCTCTTGAGAAAGAAAGAGAAAGAGCGCAAGTCAAGAGAAATCATCGGTAATGACCGATCGGACGTGTATCCTCTCGCGAGCAGAGATATCGATTGCTTTTCCATAATTGCATCGCATTCAATTGCGGTTATGATTTACAGAAATAACATGCGTTGGAACAATGTAACTATCTCACGCGTTGCAAATTGAAGAGTGAAAGAACGGTACAATAACCTTCAGACGTTCGCGCGATTCAGAATAGAAGAAAATAATATTAAAGAATAAAGCAATAATTCCAATTTACTTTCCAATTTACTTTCTTTATAATTAATAATGTAGTCGAAATATGCAAATATAATTAAAATTTGAAGGACCTTATATGAAGAATAAAATTCTTTTCTATTTATTCGGATATCAAATCAATCTTCTTTTTAACTGTATATCAGTCAGGAATGATTGATGTCTTTACAGGTTAAAACAATTGGCATTCCGCAAAGTTTATCTTAGCACTATCTATATTTGAGCGATAGTTCCGCTACATCCTGTACTCTGGCTATGATTTATGACGTACGTACATAACTGCCTAAGATTTATGCACAGACGTGTAACAACATTATCCAGAACATTTCTAACGTGATGGAAGTAAGAACGCATTACGGTTGGAAACGACCGATGTAACGAGCGAAACATTTCTCTGATAGCTTAGAAGGAATAAATTCTGCCATTAGAAAATTGTCGTTATCGTTCATTACACACGAGTAAGTGATCAATATCTTTATACGTAGACACTATTTAAGAGACTTTTTGAGTCGTGACTGTTAGTTGTATATTTCATGACAAGCACTAATACGCCTTATTTACGAGGTGTTGCACACGTATGCAGCTTCCTGCACTCCGATAATTTCACAAGAAATATAATGTCTGCGTTTTTCTCATACGCCGCGAAAAACATCGAACTGCGAATCATGATTGTAATCGGAGTGCAGCACAAAGCGTCGGGATATAACGATTTCAGTTCAGTACCGTCTGACGATTGGGATTGTTTTTGCGAAAAATGAAAGAAAGGATGAAAAAATAAGCATAAAGGGAGAGACTGAAGTACAAAGCGATGAATTTAACAAAGAGTTTTTTAAATTTGATGATGCTACCGAAAATACACGCAAGTTGCAATTAATACATAATTAGAATTTAATATCAGAATGATGTAACACAAAAAATAAAATGTGCGATGTTAATTGTAATAAATATAACGGAACGAATTCCCGACTGCCAGCTTTTTATGAAAAAGTAGCTTGAAAACGTCTTTAAAGGCATAGTGTCAAGTCATCTTTCTCTACCTACTACAAAAAAACCGGGTGAACGTGATCGATATAAAATTATAAGGCACTCTATGCCTCCATTTCTTCCACTCCTAATATGCTGGAAAATATAATTTGGAGCAGTCGATTACATTATCCATTATCGAGCACTTGTCCCTGCAGCATGAAATCTTATGTTCAAAGCGTGAGAAAAAAGTTTTAAATGAATGACAAAAATAATTATTACTTTTCAAAGATTGCGAAAAAAAATATTTTATACATGTATGTTATATTAAAAATATATTTTACATATGTATGTTATATGTAATAAATTAGTCTGATGATTCTTCATCAATTCTCAAAGGCAGTCCGTAAATT